GGCGCGCGCGCCTTTGTCATAGAGTAGGACACCTGTTATCGACGATTAGCTTCTTTCAAAGGGAGTAAGTAATAAACGATAAACAAAAAAAATGTTTAGCTTTAAACACTTTGGGTATGGTTTTTTTAGAATTATCGTGTTGTTATGATAATCCTAAAAATACTACGACCTAAGTATTAAAGCAAAGCTTTAAAGCTTTTTTTGTTTAAGTGTGTTCTTGTAGATTTAGAGATAATAAATTATTTTAACATGATAAAAAACCCATAAAAACAACCAATTAAAAAGTCATACATATTTAACCGTTTCCCAGGAAGTCACAAATCGGTAGTTTCGTAAGTTGAATTGTACAAAAATAAACTTTTTTTTAACAATCAATAACTTGTCGATTGTTATCAAATCAAAAATCAAAATTACTTGTATTCAAAAAATTTTGATTTGTATTTGGATTTGTAAAAAGAAAAGTATCGATAAACGATTATTGCACCTTGTGGCCGCCCTATTTATTACTTTTATTATTTTCGCCATTTTGGAATTTGGAAGTTTAGCTTCCAGTTCACGCGCAATTGTTCCAGGATACAGGTGCGTTTCGCTGCCTACGCGCATCGTAATTATTTATCGTAAGATAATTATCGTATTATCGTAAGATAAATACAATTAGTCAAACAATTATTTTACGGTGAAATAGACATTAGTTGATTGACATTGTGTGTGTAAATAGTGTTTTAAGTACGTTAATTTTTTACTGTGATATTGAAACTACTTTACTTTTTTTGACCTCACTCCTCTAGACTTCTTTTTATGTGGCTTTATTAAAAATGAAGTGTACTCAAAGATTTTCGAAACCGAAGATGAACTGCGCAATCGTATTGTTGCCGCCTTTAACAAATTAAAAGCCCTGGCTCTGGATCCTGAACGAAATTTTTTGAGCAAGCTTCAGGACAACATTATGCAGCGATGTAACTTGCGCATTCAAGAACGATTTTGAAAATTTTAAAATATAGGGTTTCATTAAATTTTGCTACTAATATGCAATATTATTTATTTCGTTCAGTTCCATTTTCGCTAAATAAAAAAGTGGCGGTAAAATACCTAAACAGTTTAGTGAGTAAGTTTTTATTTCGTCGCACATTGTCCAACAAACCATAGGCCGTGCCGACAAACAATAACGCTGCCTGCCGCCAACCGCCATGCCACCCGCGTGCAACGTTGTCACTCTCCCAAGGGGTCAAGGTACGTTGTCTAAACAGAGTGTTTACTTTTACTGAATTTATTTGGCTTAGCTTTCTATTGACGTCAGTGGAGTTTGGTGTTGATACGTATTTTTACAGAAAGATTACACTATTATAAGCACACACACAAAGTCTCATTATACGGAAACGCGTAATTTTTGAGAAAAGAATAATTGAAAATCAATTATTCTTGCAATGTTTATGTCTAATGTGCTAATAAACTGGCGCCATTTTGTAATGTCATTGTCGACGTCAATAGGGATGTCGATTCTTTTCGAAAAAGGTCGATTTTTAAATCGATTCAAATCGTAAGCTTATGTATCGGTTCACAAAAAATCGATTTCTAAAATATCTATATTTTTTAATGTTTCTATTTATAATGTAAATATAAACCCATTTTATGAAAAACAAGAAAGATACCATGATAAATGATCTCTTATTGAAATTTGTTTTATTTAACAGTACCTATTAGGGCAGGTAACAAATAAAATAGGTTAGGTTCAACTTATGTCAAAGAACCGAATTGATTGACCCCGACTCCACCTGGTACGAGTCTGTCCTACCCCTAGAGTGGTTTTATAGAGCCGGAGGCGCGTAGGGGGAGCAGCCTCCGCCTGCTGTAACAAATCGTAGGCATCGGACGAGCCGGAGCGGCTGAGGCTGGTCGCCGAAGGCGACCAACAAGCCGAAGCTGCGGAGGCGAGGAGGGATGCCTGCGATTTGTTACGCTAAGGCGTAGAGGTTGCTGTTCCCGCAGCGCCGGAGACGTAGCAGTCTCAAAATAGATACAGAAATCCTTATGAATCAGTCCCCTTATTTTTTTATGATGAAGGGGATTTTTTTCTCATAAAATGGATTTATATTTACATTATAAATGCAAACATGAAAAAAATATAGATATTTTAGAAATCGATTTTTTGGGAATCGATACATCCACTTACGATTTGAATCGATTTAAAAATCGACCTTTTTCGGAAAGAATCGACATCCCTATTGACGTCGACAATGACATTACAAAATGGCGCCAGTTTATTAGCAGATTAGACATAAACATTGCAAGAATAATTGATTTTCAATTATTCTTTTCTCAAAAATTACGCGTTTCCGTATAATGAGACTTTGTGTGTGTGCTTATAATAGTGTAATCTTTCTGTAAAAATACGTATCAACACCAAACTCCACTGACGTCAATGGAAAGTCGTACCATTTATTTTAATATTTATTTTGTTTGAAAATTTCACTTTTTTATTTTACGGGTTTTAATTTAATATTTAATTTTTCTACACTTCTATGGACTAGTATTACTTGTGGTTTAATTTATTGCATATATGTGGGACCCCATTCTGTATATATATATATTGTATATCGTATATTATATGTAGTTATATTTGTATGTTATATTTATCTATAAAATGTATATATTTAGTGAAGTAGCAACATCATTTTGTGACATTGTTTTCTAATGCGTATCGTTTTTGTTTATTCTTTTTTTATTACTACACTTAGTTCAAATACTTACCTAATGGCGTTAAGACTAATAGAACATGCCTAATAACATTAAGTCCGTCCATTGTATTCTTTAGTTATAGAGAATACAATAAAGAATAATAAATAAACCTTTTAAGATTCAACTGTGCCCGTACCTTAAGCCATTGAAACTTTTAAGACGCTTAAACCGCGGTTCATTCCCACTTGCTGCAGGAGCTACCAACTTTAGCCAATTACGTCTGATCGAGAAGCATCGAAGCAGTTTGTTTACTGAAAAACATATAATATGATATTTTAAGATTATTTTTAAATTATTTTACCTAATAAAACATTTACATTCTATCCTGGCCCGCCTGAAAAACTATTTGTTGCATATTGCACAGATATTAATTTCTTTAAACGGCCAGGATTAAAAATTGTGTAAAAACATAACGCACACGCGCATTCGCACACGTACTCACGCATGCATGCACATACGCAAGCATGCACACACTCAAACAACATAAAATTGTACGAAACATGACTTTCGAGCAAATAAAGATAACAATGATAAATATTAAAAATAAATTACTTTAGCTCGAGCCGTGGTAGCTCAGATGGTTAGCGCTCGCTGTAAAATTACAGTACGCGGGCGATCCGCGTTCGATACCCGCCGGCACCAATGAAATTGTTAATTGCAATTTTAAGTGCTGATTTACCACGTGCTCGGCGGTGAAGGAGATCATCGTGAGGAAACCTGCATATCTGAGAAATAAGAGAAAAAATTCCACGGACATGTGAAGTTCGCCAACACGCGTTAGAGCAGCGCAGCGGACATTTACTTGCCCTAAAACCCGCTCAGAGATGAGGGTAGGCCTGTGCCCAGCAGTGGAACGTATATAGGCTGTAACGTTAACTTTTAACTTTTAAACACTTTAGCTTAGTAGTAATAAGCTTAGTTTTAATAATAATAAACCATACATTGTCGGACATCCCAAGGTTTGACCGCTGTCAAACTGAGCGGTCTATTTCATCGTCAAGATATACATACATAGCGATGTAAGTGTAACTTGGTACACATCTGAGGTTATCCGAAATATTAAGCTTGAATATTTTCATATTGTAAAATACGAATTAAAAATTAAAAAGTTTAAAAGGCAACTCTTTATATATTTATCTGGCCCATGTTAAGAGGGCCGGGCGTAGTAATCTAACTCAATGTCACACGGCGACCGGTCTAAGCTACTGATTACACGCCGCAATGCCGTCACCCTCATGGCCTGCACCGTGGATGTTAAGATAGATTTAATGAATCAACAATCTTGATTAACAATGAATATTCACAACATATCAGACTAACCAGCGTTGCGACTGTAAAAAATTGAGTTGCCGTATTTGAAAACGAAAATTGCCGTATTTATGAAAAAAATCCACGAAATTGCCGTATAGTATTTATTTCTACAAATAATTAAATAAATTACATGAAATCTGAAATGTCTTCACCGTATAAGTTTCTAATTGATTCGAAAACATCACTCGCTTGTCTATGCAATGAATATTTTTCATTGCATTTCATTTTATTACGCATATCATTTGACACTATAAATTTCGAACAACCTCCTTGATTTTTAACTGCTTGTCTTGCTAATAGAGCTCCGTTGACAGTGGATGTTATCAATTTGTTTCTAGATTTTGTTTTCATATTATTAACTTCACTAAAAACTCTTTCGCAATCTGCATTGCTATGTGGTAGACATAATACGTCTAGAGCAAAGTTTGCCAATAATTTGCAGGCTGTAGTGTCTTGGACATTTGCCCAAAATTCATATACTTTCCATGTGTCTATTTCTAATTCTGAAAATTTGTTTATGTTTGGTAGCAACCTCCACTCGTCATCAATTCGTTGCATATCCGAATCTCTCACAATTCGTGGCAATTGCTGGGTCAGTGGCAACAACGACGGAAAAGTTTCTCTGACACTTTGGCTCACAGCCTCTTTTGGTGACAAATATTTAAGAAGTGGAAGTATCTCATCTGAAAAATCGTATCTCTTTCGGATTTCCTTGCAGCTCGTTATGAGAAATTTTCGGCATCGATGATTAAATTCATTTAAAAGGTCTTTCTGGTTTATAATATTTGGTTTTTTAGTTTCAGTGAGGACTTTAACACCCATGTATATTTGGGGAAGAAAATACTCTGAATTTTCTGGGTTAATAGAACATATTTCTGTCTGGTTAACATAATCTCTGAACATATAACATTGCAAGATCTCTTTGTAGAGAAATTTCATGTTATCATCGAGTTCTACCAATCTGGCATCCGATCCTTGAAAATACTCATTGAGTCATCAAAAAATAATTTCAAACTATCCCATTGCTCTAACAATCTATTTACAACAGATAGTAGCGATAACCATCGCGTTTGAGATGTGTGTAGCAATTTATGCACTTTTGTATTCATAAAAATTTGAAATTCAACATACTCTGCTTGCCTTTTGGCACTATGTTTGAAAAATGCATACACATTTCGCGCCAAATCTTCACAACGTCGTGGTATTTCTTTACATGCTTCATTTGCGCACAGATGCATGGAATGACAGATGCACTTTATTATTTGTATACCAGGTAAAGCAGATCGTAATCGACTGGCGACTGAGTTCTGAGCACCCATCATCACATTACAGCCGTCTGACGCGAAACCGATAATATTTTCTAAGGGCACATTACGCTGAGTGAATGTTTCAATAATGGTTAAGTAAAGTGATTCAACAGTACATCCTCGTAACGACGTTTCTCCTGTAACACTTTTCGCGTGCAGAGGCTCTAATTGCCATAAGCATGTTATAATTTTCTTATACTTTTTATCAAAATACCTAACAACAATGCATATTGTTTTGCAGGATGCAATGTCCGTAGACTCGTCAGCCATTACACTGAATTTCTGGTGTTTCAAAATATTCTCTAAGTACACTTTCTGACTTTCACCAATCACATTTTTCACAGTTGCTGTACATTTGTCTCTTTTCATAGCTAAATCAGCCGCTATTTTTGAATCGGGGAAGCAAGATTTCAATACATCCGACAAATGATCCATTGCCAGAAATGATATATTATGTTCAGCCACGAATCCCGCAAGTTTAATTTCAGCCTCAATAACTAAGACGTCTTTGTCCTTTTCACGTGATTTGTAGTAAGAGCTTAAACTTTTTGTAGAAAGTGCAGCCATTTGTCTGTTTTTATGCTTACTATTTGTGACATGCCGTCGCAGAGTTGAAAGTTCACATGATAATTTCACATCGCACTTAGTACACTTCGCTCTATACGGATCATCATCAACAGGAGCAATCCAGTCTTTGAAAAATTCTTCATTCTCCCACTGCTGTCGATATTTTTGTTTGATATGTTTACCCTTTCTAATTTTCTTTGGCGTAGAAGGGCCTTCTCCTTCTGTGTCACTCATCTTGTAAGAGTAGATCAAATCAAATCAGAACAATAAACTATAAAGTAATACTTTCACTAATACCTCCTCGTAACGATTAAAATGAAAATTCATGAAGCACGACCGTGCGCATGGGAGATCCAAATTAAATTTACTGCCAGAGCAGAGTAAAATGAGTAAATACTACACAAGTACAGTACACATCTCATAGTTCATAATGTTGTACATTCATTCGATAATATAAACAAAGTAAATATGTATATCTCTTTCATTCATTACTTCTATCAATGTCAACCATGTATCATGCTATCTTTGTCAGTCTCATAAAAGGAAAGATGGAACGGTAATCCCCCGTCATAGACAACTACTCATAAACAACCAGTCATAGACAACCACACTCTTTATCATGAAGGTTAGAGAACAGGAAAACGAAAACGACAGCCACCGAGTCCCGAGCGGGCGGCGGTAAAGAAAAGTAGTGACTGCGAAGTTAGCCGTTTATGAGTACAAGTAGGTGAAGTTAGTTGAATAATGTACAAATTTTCATTTAATTTTTTCGTAGAAAATTTTCATGCTCCGTAAGTTTGTAACTTTTGACAGAAAGAAACATTAAAAATGGAGAAATATGTTATTGTGCGTGTATGTGCAAGTGGTTGAGCATTTGATCGGAAAAATAGACTGAAAATGACTTTTATTGACTACACTTAGTGATCGCAGCGCCTCACGGCCTCACTAATGTTGTCTATATTTCTGGGACACTATTTTCTACGGCGATCGTTCTCCTTTTCTCTAACCTTCATGCTCTTTATTATCACTTATGGGATGACGGAAGTGAAAAAATATCGATATCGAAACAGGTATTTATGTTTTTGTTCATAATTTGCCATCGTGGTTTATCGCAAAGCTGAATTGCCGTAATACTTGATACGGCAATGAAAAGCCTGCCGTATGCCGTATAATCTTTAAAAAAATCGTGGAATGCCGTATATTACGGCAATTGCCGTATCGATCGCAACGCTGAGACTAACGCAAAAAGGAGATAGGAGAGGGGCAAACGAGCACACGGCTCACCTGATGGTAAGTGACTACCGCCGCCCATGAACAACTACAACACCAAGGGCATTGCAGGTGCATTGCCGGCCTTTTAAAAAGGAGTAAGCTTTTTTCTTGAAGGTCCCTAAGTCATTCGGTCCGAAAAAATTGCAAGTGGTAAATTATTCCACAGAGAGGTTGTACGCGGAAGGAAACTCCTAGTGAATCATACAACGGTGGACTGCCAAGCATCCAGATGGTGTGGATGGTATCCGGAGTTTTGCCGCGATGTGTGTTCGTGAAATATGGCAGCTGGGATTAATCCGACCAATTCCTCAAAGCACTCCCCGTGGTAAATGCGAAAGAAGATGCAAAGAGATGCCTTCGCAATGTATAAATAAACAAATGCTTCCCCCTTGGAATCTACTAACTCAACCTATCTTCGAATCGGGTAGACCAGAAGATCACCAGCTGATTGACTCCGACGAAAACCGTATTGGCGGTCACTAATTTGGTGATCCTCAAGGTAATCCGGAGCACACATCCTCAGCACAATTGAGGGGATTTCGTCAGGCCACTCGACTTGTGGATGTTCAGGGAGAGGAGTGCTTTGCGAACTGAGCCCTGTGTGAACTGCAGATCCTGTATAGAGCACTCCCACCGCAGAATGGGCGGCGGTGTGTTCCCCCCATCATCGAGTTGGATGCAAAGAAAGAGCCTAGCAGATCGGCTTTCTCCCTTGCGGCATGGGCAGTTACCTTGGACAGCATTGGCGAGAGACCAGAATGCAAGGATTCCCGAAAGAAAACAAACTAGTTTCTCACCAATTCTGCATATCTGCTCTGACTTTGCCTTGGAAATGACCATTTTGAAGGACCTAGAGGCGGAATTATACTTCTTTTTAAACGCACTGGTGCTTACATCCCGTGACGTTGATGTGTCAGCCCAGGCACGGTAGCACTCCTGCTTGTAGCGTGATGCTATTTTACAGGAGCGACTAAACTATGGCTGAGATCTGCTTCCGATGGGCACCACGGAGGAAGGAATGAAAAGTTCCATACCCTGAACAGAAGCAACATCAGCAACAGAATTAGCAACAACTTTGTGATCGTCTGGCGAGAAGCAAACCCGCCCCCAAAGGTAGGATGCAAAGAAAGACCGCATCCCATCCCAATCGGCCGACCTATAGTGCCAAACACAGCGGCAGACTGCAGAAAGCAACCATGATTTTAGCTTGAGTGGTACCACACTCCGGACTAGACAATGGTTCGAGGAGCCAAGAGCGGCGTCGATGGAGACCTGATATCTGTCCGGATGAGAGGTCAGCAGAAAGTTCAACAGGGAAGGTACATAATCCTCTACATCTGGAATCCCCTTAGGCGTAGTAAAGTTGTGTCAGACCATATGCCAAGACAAAATCATGAATTGACTCCACGCAATATCGGTACCGAGCCATTCGGCGTAGTGGGCGTTAAAATCGCCAAGGATCACGATCTCTGTGGATGGAACCTGTTGTAGCAAGGAATCTGTAGCCATTTAGCGTGGTGAATGAGTCAGTCTGTTTCGACAATACCGCTATGGGACCTATAGTGGCACCTGACACGTGGATGGTCGTCGCTGTCTACGCGTAGCCAAAGAGTGGACGGGTCCGAACCTTAAAGACTGCCGAAGCATCGAGAACAGATGTCCTCTCTGACGTATACGCAAACTCCAGCCCGAGGCGCAAAGGAGTGTTCCAATTTGTACCCCGAGTAGGAGAGACATGAAGTATCAGCCGGAGAGGACACCTGCGGCTCGGTCAGAAAGATAAAGGCCGGCTTCGCCGTCTCGAGATGGTTATGGATGGCGCTTAGGTTCGAGTGAACTCCCTTGATATTGCAGAAATTCACAAATAGCGTGGCAGGCGTCGCCGCAGTAATTTATTTGAGCGGAACTTTGCCTTTTCAAAAGAATCTGATGGCATTTAATACTAGCTCGATGTTACTACAAAGCTACCACAAAAATCGATCTACCCATAACAGTCGAAAACTTTTCAAGCCTCCCCAGAGCCTATTACTAAAAGTTGATCGGAAGTCTCTAGCATCAGGCGCATAGCAGTACGTTCAGTTTAATTAAAATCTTTAATTCCACCTTAGGTAGTCACATAAGTAAATAGATAAGTTCCGTTCTGTCCATTGCTTGTTCAATCCAACACGTTAAGCAAGGTCGATACTAGTCGCAAAAATGTTGTTGATGTTACCGGAATGGACGCAGATCGTCAAGTTATTTCTATTTTAATAAAACCTTCGATCTAGTATTTAACGACATTTTACTTCATAATCTAAGGCTAAGCTAGGATTTACTCCTAAACCCTTAATAATTTATTTTCAAGTTGTAGACAGCTCATCCTGGGACCACACCTGAGGTATCATATTTTGATACTTTAATTTAATTAATAGATCGGGGAAAAAGTTTCTTCGTATTTTTTTTTTTGTATAAAATTGAAGCAAAATCTCTTTGGTTGTTATATGATTGAGGCTCACGGAAAATGTACCATCACACATGGGAACTTGTAACGCACAATAACACACTGTAAATAGATAACATACTGGAAATATTGTTAAAATTAGTTCACACGATTTTTATACGTGGTAGAGCCATGCTGCAGCTATATTAGTAGTATAGTTGTAGCACAAATGGGTCGGCTCGACCGGGGAAGGTCCACGCTCTCACAGAATGCCAGCGTGAAATAGCAGCTTAACACTGCTGTATTTCGTATGATGAGTGTAGAGAATCGAACACGCTTTTTACTGGAAAAGAGGCATTCCATCTTAGTTTATTGAGGACAGATGTAGATGTTTATGGGTCACAACAACCACTTACCATCAAGTGTACTGTGTGCTCGTTTATCACCCTATCCTATCCCATAAAAAAATCCTCACGGGTGACAATGCATTTATTCATCACTGAACTATTATTTTTCTTTAGCTGCCTGTTCTTAAACTTATTACCATAATGTAATCACCAATTAAATCAACTCGCTATGCTGTTTTAAAATATCTTATAAAGAGCCGAACCACCGACTTTCATAACACAGGTTACCCTAGCATGAAAGTCAGGGGATCAACTTATTTCTATGTCACTTAGGCTAGCCATCTTGTTACAATTTATCTACAATTACATTGTATTAAGTTTAAGGCTTTATTTGTCAATAAAAATTATTATTATTATTATTATTATCTGTATTATGATTCTTTATTGATGAGAGTTGTAGATCTCTATGGGTCACAACATCCACGTACCATCAGGTGGACTGTGTTCGTTTGTCTTTATCCTATAAAAAAAAACACGAGACTATTTATTATAATGGAATTTCAAAGATAAAGATAAAGATATGTCAAAATTTTTCACTGTCAAAAGCTACGTATATTTATATTATTTTATTTTGTTATTTGGAGGCCAATTCTGGCTTACAAATTTCAACAAAAAGATCAGAAAATATATAAGAGAGTTGTTATAATAATATATTTTTGATTTCAGACGTAATACTAATTAATAAAGGAAAATAATATTTCTGCTGCGCCGTTGACAATTGTCAAAGCGTAACGACTATACATACAATGTTTATCAATATGGAATAAATCCAGGGAAGTAACGTAATAATATTTCATTTATAGAGTAAAGTGCTTTTATTTAGGCCGTAAATGATTGTTTCAGGGAAAGATGCGGGGTACAGCACATTTCAAGTTAATATGAATATGTAATATAAAGACTTTTGAGTGTTGTAGAGATCTGTTTAGATTTTTTAATGAATATCTCTGCTCCGCTACATTTACAGCCGGATTACCTACAGTATCAAAATTGTGCTGACGATAGGCTATTTAAAGGTAAAAGGGGATTAAATATACATATTAAACGAAGCCACAGTAAAAGTATTTCAGCTTCACAGCCTGCCGTAGAAATTCATAACTTTATTAGCAATTCCTCTAATGACACAAATGTTTCCCTTT